AAAGCAAGAATATGCATGGCAGACAATGGACAATTCACAGGAAATGCACTTTTGGACAACAAATTAGCAAGGTCTTCAAAGACATTACTGCAAGTTATGTCACAGTCAAAGTTAGCATACATATCTACCATAAATGTCTTTTGCCTGCAGAAGTCAACAAGGGCCTCCATGGCTACCTCTTGCTGCTGGTATGAAGCCCCATATCTGCTTTGTGCAAGTCTCAAAATGATACAAGAAAAAAATGCTTCTAGCTGTAATTTGAGTTCTGTACGAAGATGATGATACAGATTTAGAACAATGCTACACACCATCGAAAGTATAAGGGGACTCACTGACAAACCAAATTGCATCAGATTATGAAACAATTCATCCTGAATTAAGCTCAGCAACCTTGGGTGACGACAAATAGAAGGTCCTCCAAGTTCTATTGCTGAATTAATTAAATTTAAGGCAAAGAGAGGCACATCTTCATCAAATGCTAGTGTGTTTGATCTAGGACCCATTCCCGTATGCTCAACAACATTCAGCAACGCACACAAAAAGTGAAATATTTCCACCATGCAAGGAACACCATACGGTTCAGTCATGAGATGCATGTCATATGGTACACCGTCCTTGCCACTAATAGTTATCGCTGTGTTTTCATCCATCACAGTTGCTTTCACAACACTTGCAGCATTGGGAGCAGAGTTTGTGGATAGTGACTGATTATCATATTCAGAACTCATACTGCCATTCTCCAATTGTCTACTTCCAAAAGCATACTCATTATCTAGGCCTCCGGTCTGCAAGAATAATGAACAAATACAAATATTCATATTGAGATGTTATAAATATTAAGCCCTTGATCACCCAAAACTGTTAACTCTAGGCAAAGCAATTAACAGAATCACTTTAATTGTCTGAAGCCTTTACTATCTTAATGCCATTATTCATAACTATCCACAAAGACAATACTAACTACACACAACTGACACAAGGACTGTAAAGATACTTCATGCTTGGGGTGGGAAGACAGATGGAAAGGGAAGTCTGTGAAGTCCATCTTAGTCTTAGGATGCACAAAGAACTTAAGATCCAGCTATAGTCAGAAGGTCAAACACTATTAATGGTATACAACAGCCAAAAATCCATGGATATATTTATCGCAAATGATAAACTGATGGAAATTATAATTTAAATAGGTAGTGGGGGGCACTATTCTAACCAGAGAACAGACAACCAAACCTTTTCATGACGATCTATTAAATTGCAAACAGAGAAAAGTAATTGATAGCTTAGCACTAATTCTTGCATAATAGGAACAATAATTACTAAGAAATGCATTCTCTCCCCTGCCCCAATTCCCCTTTATATGAATTTTTTCCCCAGCATCTAAAACAATGATCATGGAAGAAAATGTAACCTTTAAGAGTAGGTAACAGCAAGATTATCATACCTCCTGTTTCAAATTAGAGCTCCCATTAACCAATGCATGGTCTGTGTTACCAACATCTTGAAGGTGAGAGAAAATACACCTTACAATTTCATGCATTGTGTACCGTGCTATCTGCTGCAACAACTCACCTTTAGATCCTGCTTGATGAACTATTCGAAAACAAGTATTCACTATGGTGCAAACGTGTTGGTTACTCAACATTATAGATGCTTTACTTTTCATACAAGATAGGAGAACTTGTAGTATCTTCATTAAAACAACTTCTTCTGAAGAAGGATCAGTGACTTCAAATCTGCAGTTAGTGACAGCATCAACCACCAAGTGCATGGCATTCTCAACATTGACAGTATTTTGATCAATCACATCAAGAGTCATGATCTTGTAAACAGATGACAAAGCAACACCAGTAATTGGGGCACCGGTTTCATCAGACCTAATTACATCTAAAAAAGGCTGTAGATACAAGGCAGGGTTAATAGCTTGCCACTGATGGTGGTGCCATGAAAAGATTTGTCTCCTCACTGTCTTGAAAGACTGAATAAGAGAGTGCTCCAGCTGATCATCACCTGACATATAACGGCCTCCCCATCTGACATTTCTTCTCATGACCGCCAAAACAGCCCCAATTTCAGAATTGATCATGCATGCCAAAGTTGTTTTGTTAGGATAGGAAGCATCACATTCCTCAGGTTCCTCCTCCTCTATTGCATTGATACCAGCTTGCAGCTTTAGACGTCCCATTTCAGTAATAAGGTACAGCAAGGATCTGGTAGACGTTCAACAAGAGTTTTCTAAGAAGTCCCAAAAAGAAAACAATAAACATAATGAGATCAAGGTTTCCACAAACCGAATAACTAAAAAGATATTGTTATGGTACTCTGATAAGTATGGTACCCTACCAAAGATGAGTTGTCAAGCATTTACTTTACAAGTCTTCTATTGAATCCAACAGGACAACAAAAATAATAAGTCCGGATTTCCACAAACCAAATAATAATGAACAATTATAAATCCTCCCACAAAATCTTATAATCTTTCTACTTCCTAGTTCCTAAACATAGTATTAAATGCTTTTTTAAGCTTTCAAGTACTTTCTCCATAAAGTACTAGGAGGATTAATAAGATAATATTGTAGCACGATATAACATTATTCTTATAGGTAGCAGCAGAGTAATGCCCTAACTTAAACGAAGCACGAAAAAACAAACACAAACTGAAAATACTCCAGATTCAAGTCAGCAACACAGCATGTAAATGTCGAACACGCGAGGAAACCCTATGTAATGTAAGTACTAAACAATAAAAAATTAAACACAGAAATCCTAATTCATAAGCATGTACATATACACGAGTTCAGGTGCTCAAAATGCACGCGCGGAAGAGGAAGATCTGATGGATCGAGCATTCTCATTGACGTAATTGGAGACGAAATTCTACGTAATTGAGAGAATGGCTAAAACTCTTCCACTACGGAGAGAAAGAGAAAAATTGCAACATCGAGCGAAAGCAAAAATCTAACTCACTTGCTCTCTGGGAATCGGAAAGTTGCGTTGCGTCGCGTCGCTTAGTTCGTGGATTCAACGAAAACGTTGACGGAACTCACTCAGTACTGATCTCATCGGAATCCGTTCTTCAGTCTTCTATTCTTTACTGCGTCTCTCTGTAAACTACGTGAAAAAGAAAAAGAAAAGAAATGACTCTCCAAAACTAAGAAAATTTTATTTATTGATTCAATTGAAGTGAATTATTTGACTCATCCTACATGTAGACGTGTAATGTAATAATAATAATAACTATTAAATAGTGTCCAAACTCAAAAAATTTGTAGGAATTTTCATTTGCATTACACTTTCAATGTATAATCCTGTTTACTCAAAATAAATTAGCAATATGAAAAGTAAAAATTATAGGATAAATTCTACCCACATCCTCTAAAATTTAATAAAATTACACTTAATAATCCTTCTTTTTTACATTATTTACTTCTCCCATTTTATATAATTTCACAAGTTAGAAAAATATATGTAAACAAATGAAAATATTGCATGTGGTTAATACAAAATGGTCTTAGAACTGTTTTTCAAGTAATACCTAAAGTTCGATTTCCGATTTAAATAGGAAGTCTCAAAAATATGAAATTATCTGAGAAATTGATGTCGATCTTAAATGGATTTCATACCTTCAAAAATGCAAGGATTTAAGTGAAAAGATAGATAAAAAAGAGTAAAATAATTTATTTATACATAAATATTTAACCGTATAAAATATAATTTAAAATATTAATTTTTTTTATTATTTACCTAATTTTATCCTACTAAACAACTAAAATTTTAACTATATTTCCAAAATATTTTCCCTCAATCCTTTCCCCCATCAAAACAATATGCAAGGTTGTATAGGCCAAAAAAAAATATTAAGTTAGATTAATTAAATTTAAACTTCAAAAATATACGAGTGTATGCCCTTTTGGACCCCTAATGCAGCACAAAAAAAAATGAGTGTAATTTGTCTAAAATTTTATTATAACAGTATATTTTTTTAATCATTGGAAAGAGATTTTATTATAACAGTATGAAATATAAAATAACAACTAATATTATTGATTATAAACATAAAAAAATTAAAAATAGTAAATAATGTTCAAATCATATTATAATTGTAAGAGTAATATTATAAAATAAGAAAAATATATACAAAGACGAAAGATATAATAAAAGTAAAGACGTAAAAATTATTAAAAAAACTATTATAGAGCTGTCAAAAAAAAATAGTATTGATGCTAGATTAAAAAATGAAAATAAATAATATTATAAAATGCCCAAAATATTATTATGTCAGTGTTAAAATAAGAAGACGCTAATAAAATAATACTATAAAAAATTACCATAATAGTATAATGTTATTTTAAATATAATTGAAGCAGTGCTTTATTCATAAAAAAAATAAAAATCAAAAAATCAAAAGTCAAATATCAAACAGCGGAAAATGAAAAAACTAATAGTAAAATTATATGACTGAATATTATGTAAATTGTTACTAAAATCATATAAAATAATTTAAGACATTAATAATAAAGTAATGAAATCGTAAATGACATAAAAACAACGAAGAAACAAACACATGATTAAAAGATAAAATATTATTAAACCAAATAAGATAATATTTTAAAACGGTAATGGAAATAATGTTGAGCATTGTAAAAAAAATAGAAGTAATAATAGTATTAAAGTTAAATAAATGTAAATATATATATATAATGTAAAATAAATATAAATTAAGATGGAAAAATAACTTCTCTTGAAATATTATAATAATGAAAATTATTCTTTACAAAAAAAAAAATATACAATTATAGTAATAAATATAAATGCTGTTATTTACAAAAAATAATTTTTCAATATTAATAATTCTGAAATAATAAACTAAAAACATTATGTCAAAATTTTAATGATGACTATATTATTAAGTATTTACACAATTATATAAATTAATTAAAATTGCAAACGATTTCCAAAGAGAGATCAATGGTTCAAATTGAGATTGGCACGAAATAGGGAACACATTGAACAGCAGCAAATTATTTTGCTTAAACCAAAATCGATTTTACACACTTTAGAAACGGATCCAAACTCTAACAACACTCACTGCTTAAGTAACCTGTCTTAATATGTGTATATAATATATTTATGATTATCATCTCAAAAATTGTGTTTTTTACATCATTAACATACCGAGTAAATACATGTACAACCTAGCAAGATAATACTAATGCTTTATCATTTGAGATTGTATCTGTGTTGTATAGCATATCTCCAACCAAAAGTCTCATCCGTATAAAGTAACAACTAACAAGTCCCCGGGGCAATTATGAGAAAGAGAGAATACCAAATAACAAGCAACTTCACTTCATGCTTAGCCTGATCAAACTGCTCCAACCATAATAACAATGCGATATTCTGCATAATCAACTAGAACACCTTCACAACCTCAACATAGAAAAGAGAAGGGTATTCATAGGGTCACATAGAAAAGCCAATTCGGGTAGCTTAGGCACTGCATGTAGATTTAACTGATAACATTACCCTCTTGGCCCATTTTTCATTTGAAGGAACAAAAATGTTTGCATCAGGTCCTAAACTTCCAACTGTTTCAATCGGTTTGTGCCAGCTGCTCCGAATCTTGCTCAGGGAACACCTCAAACTGCAATGAGGGTGCAATATTCTTCATATGTAGAAATGTCATCTCCCACAAACTATTTTCTCCTGAGCCACTGTTCTGCACTAGTATGCCCTCAGATTTCATTACAAGCAAAGTGTTCTTCAGAAGCTCAGGTGCAAGCTCCTGAAGCTTCTCACTTCTCCTACCCCAAATCTTCACCTGCAAACTTTTTTCGGTACGGCTTAGCACACCCTCCCATAATTTGCAGAAGGCTTCCAATTGCGATAATTCTAGGAGTAACTGGAGGAAAACATTAAACAATAGCTTCAAGGCAATAATAAGCGTTCCTTCTATGTGCCGGTAGTCCTTCTGAGAGTGTGACTGCACAATTTCAAGCAGGTCATCTAGCACGGTGAAGATCACTTGATCAAAACATGTTATCCACAAATCGCGTGGGAGGTGAGTCCCAACAGCTCCTGTGAAGCACTTCTGCAGAGATAACAACGCATGGTTTCTAACCTCCTCTCTCTGGTCCAGACATACTTTCCTCAGTCCCTGCACTAGCCTAAACCACATTTCCCCAATATCCTGCAACACCTTTTCCACTTCCTCTTCTTTGACTGCTTGTTTAGCATTATTGGACCACTTTTCTAAACAAATGACAGAACCTGCCATAAGATCTAGTGCAATTATAGACCGATCTACCAGTCCTAGACGAGATTCAGCAAACTGTCTCGCAACATCTACACAGAGAATGTAATTAGCAGGGAGCAAGTGAGCTCCATCAGACATAATGAACCTCAGCGCATCAAATCCAGCCTCAGATGCTTCCAGGTGTCTAGCAGTGATGGAAAGCAGTGATGAAATTGTCCGCCATCCAAACTGAGATCTAATATGAGAAGCATTCGCCTTCACAAGGCGAGTGACCTCCTGCGTAATCTGCTCATAGTATGCATCTGCAACCCGTGCGTCAAGCTTCAAGACAAGTTGCAGGGACCTCAAAAGTTCATCAGTAATGTTCTCTTTGTAGGGAAGTAAGCGATGGCAAATTCTAAGCAGTCCAAAAATAGCCCTTTCTACCAGTGCACAAGCCATCACAGTTGACTGAACAATATTGGATATGTGCTCATAAACACCCGTCCAAAGTAGTCCAACTCTATCCCTGTTATTCAGAGTGATTGCTATTAGCAACTCCAGGCAGAAAACTGAAGTGTCTTCATCCTCAGATATTCTATTCCCTTTCAGAGGTTGAGCTCCAGCATTAATGAGTGCTCTTGCAAGATGCAATAGAGATTCAGCTTGCAAAAATTTACTCTCACCCAATATGCTGTCAATGTGACATTTATGAATTGTTTGTGCAGCTTGCTGATGAGCAACCAATTGTTCTTCAGTTGGCACTGATCGTGTCTCTTCAACGCCAAGAGATAAAAGTTGACTAAACCTGCCCATCAATCCTGAGGGTCTCTTTGGAGTCGTATATCGAAGATGTGTTGATGGTAACAAATTTGAATTAGGCTTCCCATCTCCTGTTTCTGTAGTTACCTGTGACTCGTCAGCTGCATCACTGGCCAACTGCGGAGGAAGGAGGCATAACTTGTGAAATATTAAGATGCAATCAAGAATATTCCTCCACCCTGTGCGGATGTAATCACCATATCTATTTGCAATAGTGAAAACTGTTTCAGTTGCCATTCTTGCTTTTGTATCATCTCCAAAGGCCAGGACAGATTCCTCAACTGATAATGGATCCAAAATGGTAATGAACTTACAGAGGCACACAACTAGATCATCAAGTACATTTTCAAGATGATAGTAGGCGGATATCTTTGCAACAACCAAGAATCCATCCATACATGCTTGGTATACCTCTTCATTTTCAGCATTATCAAAAACCACAGAAATGGCAGCAATTGTTGAGCCTGACAATGTAACAAACACATCATAATCCAAGTATGCCCTGGAATCAGATACAATGAATGGAGCAGTTTGTTTTGACTTGTGCATCAGAGAAATCCACCGACTTGGGGTCATTTCTGGAAATCCAAAGCCTGGCTCAGGAGTGGTACGGATTTCATTCTTACAAATTGAATGGTAAATCTCTGACAGGAATTCTCGAGGCAGATCATTGCCAGCATTTATATGCCTATTATTCCTGATAAAATCCTCTTCTGTCATCTTCTTTTTGACCTGCACATTATGATGATCTGTATTAAGCAATATAATTGAGTATGATAACACAAGAGCAGCATCCATGTTAGCTAGGATATGCGGTGATTGTTCATAATATCTCTCAGAGAAAGCTTCAAGCACCCTATGTATCTTCTGTGATTCTCCAGGTAACCTAAAACTCTCCAAAAATACACGAAGGGCCATATCTAAGGTCATATCTTCAAAATCAAATGTCCTAGAAAATTCATGGAGAACCTGAACACAGAATTCATCATGATTTCCAAGGAAATCACCAATGAGATTTTTATCCAACCCAGCGGTGTATCTTAGAAAGCAAGCAACACTCTGGGGGTCAAGTTTGTTAGGCAAAAGATGTGTTCCTTGGAGAAACTCAAGACCTTTCTTATCATCTCGATTGAAGTGATCAGCTCCAATCATTAATCTTCTCTTTATGTACTTTCTTCGGCGGACAAAAGGAACCCAATCATTTGGGTCACCAAAATTGTCACACTTTTCCATCCAGAATGGAGAATACTCCTCAAAATTCACAGGAGATTGTTCTGAACCTAAAGATCCACTACCTATCCTTTCAGCCATTCCCTGCATTACAGCAATAAGACCATCCAAAGCAAGAATGTGTATGGAAGATAATGGATTGTTCACAGGAAATGCACTTTTGGACAACAAATTAGCAATATCTTCAAAGACATTACTGCAACTTATGTCACAGTCAAAGTTAGCATACATCTCCACCATGAATGTTTTTTGCCTGCAAAAATCAACAAGGGCTTCCATCACAACCTCCTGTTGTTGATATGAAGCCCCATATTTGCTTTGTGCAAGCCTCAAAACTACACAAGAAAAAAATGCTTCTAGCTGTAATTTGAGCTCCATACGAAGATGGTGATAGAGATTCAGAACAATGCTACACACCATTGAAAGTACAAGAGGGCTCATTGATAAACCAAATTGCATAAGATTGCGGAATAATTCATCCTGAATTAAACTCAATAATCTTGGGTGACGGCGAAAAGAAGCTCCTCCCAACTCGATGGCTGAATTAATCAAAGTTAACGCAAAAAGAGGCACATCTTCATCAAATGTTATTGTGTTTGATCTAGGATTCACTCCCATATGTTCAGCAACATTCAGCAAAGAACACAAGAAGTGAAATATTTCCACCATACAGGGAACCCCATACGGTTCAATCATGACCTGTAATTCGTGTGGATCAATCCCATTAACACTGGTAACAATAGATGCGTTTTCATCCATTACAGCTTCTGTCACAACAGTTGCAGTACTGAAAGCGATGCCTGTAGATAATGGTTGAGCCTCATATGTAGAATTCAACCTCCCATTTTCCAATTGTCCACTTGCCAAAGCATGCTCATTATTTACTCCATTGGTCTGCAAAAACACTAACATCAATACTTAATTATAAATTTATGCATTCCTGATTCCCAAAATTCAGTTTTACACAAGGAAAAATGTTTATTTCAGTAGAACTATTGAATTATTACCTTAGAGAATTTATAGATTTGACTATAAAATATTGGTACATGTAAGTTGTAATAATATATAAGGAGACAACTCTCTACCCCTTTTGGACAACATATATGCTTCCAGCAAGGATTCTTTGCTTCTTTTACCCCCTAGTTTTTTGGAGGTGAATGAAGGTAGTGCAGGACAGCAGGGAGTCAATTATAGTTATATACATTAAATTTTCGTAAAACATATATTTTTTCCTAATAGACATTATAAAAAGGATTTTCCTTCTTTCCTTCTATATTCCAGATATTCTACCTAGAAGATTTCTAGGTCATGTACCTAGCCTTCTTTAGTACTTTCTTATTGTTGCAGTCCTCTGTCTGAAGAGAAAGCAGGAAGAGAGGTCAAAGTTCACTATTTCATTTTAAGCTGTACTTTCAGGCTAATAAGCCAGCTGGCCAAACACTGTATGGTGTTCAACGCTCCAAGATTGGCACCATACAATTTTGTTGGAACATTAAATTAATGGAAATTGAAATTTTCACATAAATAATAAACAGTAACATAAGAAGAGCATAATGAGTTAAGGATATTGTACTTTTCAACTATTTCAAATTTTGTAAGCTTAGAAAAACTTACAATAGCAAAACAAAATTATAGTGCAAATAAGAATTCTACCCCACCCAAAGTCCCTATTTTTCCCTTCAATTTTTGTCATGCATAGCAACTGGAAAAATAATCACATGATGAAGTCTGAAATGCAACAAAAAAGGACAAAGGAAAAATAAATATTATACCTCTTGTTTTAAGGTAGCACTCCCATTTACGAATGCACACTCTCTGTTGTCAATATTCTGAAGGTGAGAAAATATACACCTAACCAGTTCATGCATTGTATACCTTGCTATTCGTTGCAACAGTTCACCTTTGGTTCCTGCTTGATGAACTATACGGAAACAAGTGTTTACTATGGTGCAAATATGTTGGTTACTTAGCATCACAGATGCTTTACCTTTCACACATGCTAAAAGAACTTGTAAAATCTTCATTAATACCACTTCTTCTGATCCAGAATCAGTCACCTCAAATCTGCAACTTGTGATAGCATCAACCACCAAGTGCATGGCATCCCCAACATTAACAGTGTTTTGATCAATCACGTCCAGAGTTAAGATCTTGTAAACAGATGACAGAGCAACACCAGTTATAGGTGCACCAGTTTCATCTGATTGTATCACATCCAAAAAAGGCTGGAGGTACAAGGCAGGGTTAATGGCATTCCATTCATTCTGCCATGAGAAAATTTGCCTCCTTAGTGCCTTTAAAGACTGAACGAGAAAGTGCTCTGATTGGTCATCATCTGACATGTAATGAACTCCCCATCTAACATTTCTTCGCATGACAGCCAAAACAGCTCCAATTTCTGCATTTATCATGCATGCTATAGTAGTTTTGTTCAGATTTCCAGCTCCACAGTGCTCATATTGATCCTCTGTTCCATTTAGACCAGTTTGCAGTTGCATCTTTAGGTGTCCCATTCTCACAAAAGTATCAGTTACATTTATTAAAAGAATGCTGAGAATGAGATGAACAAAAGCCCTAAAAGAAACAATGTAGAAATAGATAATTAATACAGCGACAAGGATTCCCACATATTAATGACTCCAAACGAGCATCAACAGTCAGTAATACAAATAATCCAAATTCAAAACAGATACAAAGTACTAACATATGAAACACAGCCCAAGGACCCAAAAAAACTCTAGTATCTAAAGAGATTTGTCAAGGAAGAACATGAATGGTGAATATATAAGCAGATCATATAAACAACAAATACGCATGCAAACACATTTAGAAAGAGGCCCTAATTCAGAGTAATAGGGATGTATAAAATTTTTTGAAAATTATCCTAGCAAAGGTCTGCCTGTTAAAGAACTCTAACCATATATTCCAAAGAAAATGAGTAAGACTGAATCTCAAAGCAAACCAAACAACATTTTCAAGCCTTTCAGCACAGCAGACACAATGTATGGTCTACAGCACAGATCAGTAGCATAGATTAACATTATATCTCAATTGATCAATTATAACCAACAGTAATAACATTTAAGTCTCCACCACAAGTAAAATCCAACCATTTGGTTACTAAGTTTTTCACAGCTTATAAATTAGGAAAAGAAATTAAGCTGTACAGGAACACTTACTCATTGAATCAGGTAGATTAGAGGTTAATGAATGTAGATTCTGGTTCCTCTCACTCAAACTCGTATATTTCATTTGTGAGCTGAAACTTCAAAGGCATTTCTCTCTCTGATAAAGTACACCGGAACATAGAAAGATCCCATTAGAGGCACAGAGGTTACACGTTCAAATAAATATATATATATATATATACACACACATATTAATCAAATCAAAATAAAACCAGTTCAAGACGGAAATCATTCCAGATGGAACCATAATACAACTTTAAACCCATAACATGAAATTGCTAAAACATTAGATCTGCCATGAAATCTCACCCTTCTGATTGAACCAAATTCATTGTCAATTCTGTTGGCATAGTAAGAATGATCTAATCCATGGGACACAACCCCCATTTCGAATTAAACTAGAATTCTATAAAGGGGTCTCAAAATCTATGTTGAAGTTTAAATTCACGCAATGACACCCCAGAAAAATGTTGAGAATTAAAATGGAAGAAAAACGAAAACTTACAAAGGTAGCGTATTAAGGGCATGGCAGGGATACAATGTTTGAGGCGTAGAATTGGAAATCATGGGTTGTGTTGTGTTGTGTGTGCCACTTCCTTACAAGAAGATCCTCCTGGCTGTTGTTGTTGTTGGGGCCTTCCGATTTTATTTTTTTTTTAAATAATAATAACTGTTATTTGATTTTCTTTGTGTACCCTTTTACTAACCACAAATTACTACAAAAATCTCTACTTCCTTTCTATTTTCACATTCTGCCAATATACTACTACACGTTTAATACATCATCATATGGTTTGTAACTTGGAAGTAAGGCTTTTTTTATTTTCAAGACAATATTATACACGTATTCTTACTTAGTAGAGGTAATTCTAAGGCTTTTTTATTTTCAAGACAATATTATACACGTATTCTTACTTAGTAGAGGTAATTCTTTTTTTTTTAAGGGAGTAGAGATAATTTTGAGAAGGGTAAAAAAGTTCATGAATTATGAAGTTTTTATTATAAGTAGTATTTAATGCGGTTGAAATCAACACTTAACTTCAATATTTTGGAGACAAAATATAGAATTGTTAGAGACTTAAAAATAGTAATTTTAGATTTTAAGATATAAAAATAATATATATATATATATATATTTTATAAATATAATAACTACAAATATAAATTTTAAAATTTGAAAATAAAAAATATTTACAAAAGACTAACAACATAATTAATCCTAACAATTTATGAAAATCAATTAATGCTAAAACAGCTTATGCTTATCGCAATATAAACTTAATACTATTAGTAAGTGGAGTATGCAGAATGGAAGCAGAAATTAGCATTGGATTAGAAAAATGAAAAAGAAAGAGATGTGGCAGTCATGCAGGAAACATGATCTAAATGAAATAATGATAAATGGCGTTTCAACTTCGAATTTCAAAGGTGAAGACTGCGTTTGGCTCCAATTCCAATCTCTCACATCCTGCACGTGCATGGCTTTTCATAACATCCACCTGACCCTAAACTGGCACGTGTTTCTCACACACTCGCTCGCACAAGATAGAGTGAGAGCTGAACCGGTGGAAAGACAAGAATAACATGCAATAACAACAAGCTTCCCATGCCGCACTGCACGGAGAGATGCATGCTTATCTCCTTTCATTCTCAAACTAAATCATACGCAATTTTTTTTACTTTTTTAATTAAAAAGAAATTAAAAAACGGATAATTGTGCTGCCTTATGTATGTGCATGTCCCATCATGTGTGTGAAGGAATGCACGAACAAACCAAAACAAAACTCAAAACTTTATAATTAAACTGATTGACTTTACGAATCTTTTCCTGGCCACAGTGATTCCATGGCACTCTCCAGCACCAAAGTACATTTTGATTTGATTTTTATTATGTTAATTAATTGCGGGATTTGGATTATTTGAAAAAGGAAGAATAAATCTATTTTGAGAGACAATAAATAAATAATTAAATGCTAATTATTATCCTAGAAAATATACAATTCTCACTGACACGACATTTGGGAGGCTTCCTTTTTTTTTTTCTTTCCGTGGCCTTTCTTTTCTCGTGAGTATTTATTTAACTCTCTCTATCTCTATGGTCTTTGGCTTCCTCAACTCAATCTGTTACTACTTTATTTCAGAAAGAACCTGATTCTCTGAATTACTTTTCTCTCTTGCTCTTCCTTGCCTTTTTATTTCCGTGGACACCACTCATTGCTGTGCTTGATTTGGTTTTTGGATGAAAGAAACGAAAGGCGGTGAATTGATCAAGTGAGAAGAAATGGACAAAACCATGGGTGTTTTCTCAACCGCCAAACGACACATTAATAAACAACAATCTGCTTCTTCTCGGGGTATCTATTTTACCACTCATTTTTTCTTGTCGCTTTTCGATTCTTCTCATTCTCGCTCCAAATAAAATAAATATCTACCGCTCTCTTTTTGTTTGAGGTAGGTTTGAATGCGAGTCTCCAGTTTTCGGAGAAATCAAAGAAGGAGAAGGTGAAAAGTTTGAGTGCCGTCGCCAAAGCATTATCAATGGGTTGCCGTGTCTCTCACTCGCCAAAACCAGCCAACAAATTTCAGCTTCCCAGAAAGGTACTACTTCTATGCGCTATTTTCATTTCACCATTTTTTTTTTAATATTTTGTTTGATGATTTGGCAGTTTCTCAAGGATTGCAATGGCGTTGATCATGCCTCTGTTCCTCGGAAGATACGTTCAGGTGCCCTATTTTCCGATTTGGAATAAAGGATGTCGCATTTATTTTATTTTTGTTTCTCTTTCCGTCCAAATTCGATCGGTTGAAACAATGACGGAACTCGGCTTTCCCTCCGCTCTGTAATATAAATTAAAGGTCCACAGTGTACTAATTCAACAGTGTGTGGTACTTTCTGAAAAGAATAATAATTTTTTAATAAATTATTGGGAGATATTTCTACACTCCAATTGATTTGTAGCTATCTTTCCATTGAGGTAGTTGAGATTTTTTTTTGATAAGATTGTTAATTTATTATATATTTATTTATTTTAAAAAGTGGGGAATTTTGTCTCTGTTGAAATTACAGCTGTGAAGAAACGAGGACGCGAATCCGTGTTTGGTGATTCAGAAAAGGTGAACCATAGGATGAATGGAATGGAATCTCCTCAAAAAGAGGGCATAAAGAAATCTAAAGTGAGTGTTGCAGGACGTCTTTTGTGGTTCAAAACTTAACCTTTTGCTTCGTTTTCTAGTTATTTCAATTTCACCTTTACTTGTGCTTTTGCTTTTCCTAGAAACAAAGAAGCCCGGGCTGGTCCACGAGGCAAGCTTTACCCGGGCCCATTACGAAAGATGAGGAAGAGGTTGTGGAGACTCTCTATGCCTTGGCTGGAATGTTCCCTGATAATGGCTCTAATGCCAAGAGTGAACTAGACAGTGAATCTTTTCCAGAAAACTCCACGGTTTTGCAGGACCAAGAGGAGAGTCATTGTGCTAATGTTACTATTGAAGGTTATTAATTCTCTCCCTCACAGCACTCTTTGTAGCCAATATTAATTTATGTAATCTAATTTAATCTTTTAATTTTTTGGGTCATGTATTTTAGTCTCGGGAACTACTCAGGATGCTGGACAAACATCACCTACGGGGTGTAAAAGAACCAGTTCTTTACACGAAACAATTGGTCAAGAACAGTCTGATTTTCCTCAGAGTGCTAAGTTCTTGGTTGCTAGTCAAAGCACTGCTGGAAAAATAAATCTGCAAGCCGTGCATAGGATGGTGGTTAAGAGTGAAAATGGCAGCAAAGTTGCATCACACGACTCTGAATTGTCTCTGGAAATGGGGTGCGTAGTTTTTCAGTTGCATTCTGGAATCTGTCTAGTCTATCATCTTGAAATCTTTAATATTTTATTTAAATGTTTTCTCATCTAATTATTGCAGATTAAATGTGCCCATACAACCACAGATTTCGCATATCGGGAGGAAATCAGATGTGGAATTTCAGACGGTAGTCATTTCAACTTTTACAATTTGCTGTAAAATTCTTGTCTCAGAAGCTAGTGATAGATAATATACGGGCTTACATTTCAGGCCGGAGGCATTTATTGTAAGAAAGAACAACATTTAATCAAGTACCAAAAAGAAACTGGTATGGTCGAGGGCGAAATGTGCTTGTTACTAGCAGTGATTTTTTTTTAAATTTTTGTGTACGCATAAGTATTTAATCAGTTGACTGACAAGTGGATATCTTTGGTTGTTTTATCAGAAGGTCCAGCATTGTGGCCAGGGTTGTCTTCGACTGCTTCTGCTGGGATTAGTGCTTCTTATTTGCAGTAAAATTCTTTTATTCCATTTCCATTTTGAGCTTCTTATATCGTCAAATACATTTGATATGATGTATTTTTCTTCTGAAGGTCTTCTGCTGCTAAAGCTCCAGATTGGCTGAATTCTGCTATTGGTGCACCGAAACAGGATTTGATGGAAGGTTGTTTTTCTGGTGGAAAGGTAATGAATTACAAATTTATGCTTATTACTTATACTGCTGTTTTGCAAGATTTACCTATATAATGGCAAAGTTTTTCATCCTAGCCGATGCACTGATCCACTCAAAACGCCCATTGGTTATTTCCAATAATTAACGATGCAGATTTCCGATATTGTTACTCATAAAAAGGCATGGAAGAAGTGTGCAGCTCATGTTCACATAAGTCATCTTATCCGTAGCTTAGAAGTGTCTAAAAGAAAGGTGGACAAAGAACACGAGCTTTATGAATCTCATCAAATGAGAGTACACCATGGAACAAAATGTGGAGTTCTAATGGAAGCCCAAAACTTGAATTGGACGAAAAGTGGAAATAGTTCTGCTACCGGAGCAGTTCATTCTGCTACTACGAGTGCTTCACGTGAAACTAAGAATGGTATTCTTCATCATGGCCTTTATCATGACATATCTCTGTCTCCTCAAAAGCAAGTAAGCAGCGGATAATTTTAATAATGTTGTCTTTCTATGCCCCCCATCTTCCTCATGCCTGATGACTATTCATATTCTGCAGAGTTTCAACTTCTTGTCCTTGTCAACTGGAGGTAGTGAATTAAAGGTCAACGAAAGTCTTAATAAAGGTGAAAGTAAATTGGAACCATTGTCAAAATCGCAAGTGCCTTATTTTCAGTCATTACAACAGCAGCATGGCCTCATGCCCATTCAAAGTCCGTATTCCTCCTCTTTCCTCGATCGGTTTCTTGTTGCAGGGCCACAGGTTTTACTTACTAGACTCCTATCAATCTTATATTAATGGACTACAAAATCTAAGGTCAGGTTATAGAAAAGATGGCTTAAAGTGGTTATATTGTTCAACATGATATTAATGAGGCGGCTAAAAATTATTGTCAATTTGGAAAATAAGCTGCCCCACCCTGCCACCCCCAAAGAAAAAAAAGACTTGGAAGAGAAAAGCCATGCAATTTACTAAATATAACAGCACCCTTTCCCTTTGTCTTATTGTCATATTAACCTCAGTTCCGTAATGCTTTAATTGACTGCAGGTTCGGTTGCAGCAGCAGCAGCAGCCACCTCATTATTATGGTACCCCATTACGTGGAGCTCATTTTAGTTCCTATAAACAACAGCACCAAAACTTTTGGGCGGTGCAGCTAGCAGCTCAAGGTGGGTCTGCTGTTAATTGCAGCATTGTGAGGGCCCAATATCCTAACTGGCAAAGTGGTAGACATGACACTTCTGTAGCGAGTCCTTATGCCCTTTCCCATTCCCCTGCATCTTTAGAAGCGCTTGGATCCAAGATTACTTCAATCTCTGAGCAGCACCTCTTCACCCTCCCTTCATCAAGATCAAAGCCAAATGGGCAAGACACTCATCTTCCTTCTTCTGTATGTGAAGAAAGTAAAGGTAGGTTCCGTAGTAGTAGTGGTACCCCATCGCTGCAATTGTTATGCGATGAGCGTATCTGAAATTGAGTAATTGACCACAAAGGATAAGGCATAGAAATATAGTATTTTCATTGTTGAATTTCTGCATGCGCTGGTCTTTGTCATACTCCTACAGCTGCCACGTTAGTCAACGTGACACATAACTTGCCATGTCGTCGGGAAAAAGAAACACAACGTAAATATTTAGCTAAATCTGAGACCGACAGAGCCTGCCCTACTCTTGACATAAAGTAAATACCATACCTTACTTTGGGTCTAATAATAAAGAGGCTTACTTATTAATATTTCTTTCCATAACATAAATAAATGAAAATATTGATTAATTAATGAGGAGTTAAATTTTTTTTTCAAAAACAAGTCACTTCATTTATCATTCTCTTAATATTTTATTTTTTCAAATTATTGATTTTAATAAAACTACGTATCTTTTGTTATTAATTATTTTGAAACAGTAAACTTTAACAATTTGTTACACTTTGCATGTTCTGCTTAAGAAATTGCCGTTGAAAATAGGTATAAAACTTAAAATTTGCAAAATAATATACTATTTGTAGAAAAATAATTTAATAAGATAATTGATAATGAAATTGTGACATCTTCGTGATTATTACATTATATATTAAGCAATTTTTACATTCTAAAGTAGATTTGACTTTACTGATTATAGAAAAGTGTTGATAATTACAGTAATTTTTGCTTCAACAAAAAAAAAAGTTACTTAAAGTAATAAGGTTTAAATAAAAATTGGAAAGACACT